ATGCGTCGAGTGACGGACATGGAGAAGTAGATTGAAGTCTGGGTGCCCGGGGTGACCATGGTGTGGATGCTGCGATCGTAGGCAGAAAACGGCAACTCGCCGCGCTCGTGAGTGATGATGGTGAAGGTGGCCCCACGAGGCACCTCTGCGTTGACGGTGTTGGTGGCGATGGCTGCGGTGGTCGTGTCCTGGGAGATCTTCACTTCGAGGTCTGACCAGGCAAGCTCGGGTTCGCTTGATGACAGCTCAAATGTTGTGCATATGAAGCTGATCTTATGTGGAACCTGCGGCAGTACAGAATTAAGAAAATCTGTTGAAATGGCCTGTCACATCTGGGTTTTGTATGGTAAATTGTACATTTGCAAACACGAATTTGGAAATGTATGACTACATAGTGACGGTCTATTCTGCACTGTGTCTGTATAAATGAATTATTTAAGGACATCGAAACTGTGGTTAATTTGTCTGAAAACTCAACAGTAATTGGCAATGCAGCATTACACTTCTTGTGAAGTATGCGTAAGGGACAAGGTGTAGTATCAAATAAAAATATGTTCACCTATAATTCATAAAACCTGGAAAATTGGACCTTTTTACATGGCGACAAATATTTCGTGTGCTTACATTTTAAAACATTAACATACAGATATTGCATGAATAATTCCTCATAGAAAGTCAGAATGTTTTCAAATATATTGAATAACGTTTTGCATCTTTCAGGTTCTCCAAGCAACTTCGAATTAACGCAAATTACAAATCTGAAAGTTTGGTTAGAAATGGTGAAAAGGGAAAAAATGCGAATAAAAAGTGACCCTTAATTTTCTTGTCAACATGTTTCTACTAACACCTTTGACAAACAAGTTGGTAAAAAAGATAAACTCTAACAAGAAGAAGACGAATTCAGCAGACATCTTACCTTAAAAAAACAAGCCCATATCATGCAATTTTTATCGAACTTATCAACATTGCCTCCACTTAGATGCGATTTTCATATTGACTTTAACGCAGCACACGTTCAAGATATTGCAACTGTGGCTTAAACCGGCTTTGCTTTGTTGTCCACAAACAAGAAAGTGTGTAGAAATGTTTATTCAGGTGGTAGTTTCGCGTGGACTTTCAGAAGCTATATAACATTTAAATATACGTGTTTAGGTCATGTGCAAGAATATGCTGAATGCTAATAATTTTTGGCGACCTATGCTTTCAGTTGTTTGATTAAATTGCTTAAGAAAAGAAGAAGACTCGATCGCTGGGACAGTACGTTTATTCGCCTGACGTTTCGACATCCGCCTCGGATTCATAATCAGAGACATGAATAGGAAACAGTAGCAGAAACGGGCCTGCTACTGTTTCCTACTCCTGTCTCTGATGATGAATCCGAGACGGATGTCGAAACGTGAGGCGAATAAACGTATTTTCCCAGCACTCAAGTCTTCTCCTTCTCAATTGCTTCCCGGGACATGCATGTTCGCTTGTATTGGTAAATTAGTTACGTGAATTCGTAAAAATCGTCGGCGATTACGAGATTGTACTCCTACTCTTAAGGTATAGGACATACTAAAATACATTGCAAAAGGTTTACAGCGTTTACTTGTTATACCTGAAGTGCAAACGCCAACGCAGATAAACCTTACCCACATTAAGAAATTAGAAAAAGTTCTTAAACCAAAATTTTTTTTCCTGACATAAAGAAGTCGCACTTTGCTACCAAATAAATATATGAAATGTACGTTTTTTTGCTTTTTTGAAAAAGTACATATGAGAGTCTTAAGGGCATATAAAATAAATTTGAATAATACTTACTAGATGAAAAGGAAACTTTGTGAATGGTTTTTTTCCACATACGGCCGCACCGCAGCCAATTCATAAGCTAGTGACCTTGTGAGACTGCAATAGTCTACGATTATGCTAACTGATAATCATGATCGTAATGCTATTTAACCTCTTCTAGCGCTCCATTCCCTGCACGGTTGGCCCTACTTCAGAAGTATACTAACACTGCGTACTTTTCCACAATCTACTGTTAAATCTGTTACCTTTAACGTTTGCTCCTCAGCTATAAATATAACCTACAGCAAATAGCCCAACTGATGAAATGTGAAGGTCGAAATTTAGGGAGATGGTTGAACACACTGCAGACAAAAACTTATTGATTGCGAATAGTAATTAAAAGTAAAAAATTTTAAGCACATCCTTTCAGACAGCAGAAAATTCTGCTTTGCGTTCAGGAAATTGAGGTAAGTGCAAGGATGAGATAGCGCACTGTTTTCAGGAAATGATGGGCGGACAATTTTTATAAAATTCGCTTTTGTAATTCTCCAATGTCTTTTTCCATAAAATTATGCAATAGGCTTTTAAGTCTGTAATTGGTTTTACCAAACCGATAAAAAGTTTGGTAAAGTAGGCAAACCTACATATATGTGCACTCTAGACATGAGGTCACTTTTCTCTGTCAAACCTTTCGCCAAAATGTCTAAACAATTTAAAATAACAGCTCATTAGGAACGAATAGGAAAACTTTAAACGGAACATGTGGAAGATTCATGGTTTTGCCATTCTGTCGTGCCTTCGCAATCTTGGAACAGGGCCCAAATATGAACATATAAACTGTGTTCTTTCATGCTCAGCAGAGGAGTTCTGTTTAATTATGGAAGTAAAGAAAACGTTCACATTTCACCACTTTATCTTCACCTCATCTTCAAAAAAGGTAAAGAACGCAGATAGTTGACGTCGAACTATCTACATAAAGCTCTTGTTCAAGAGATAGCTGTTTATTATTTTGTGACTTATTTGGCAGATGCTCATTTTCATACGCAGTATATTGACATGTTTAGGTGATTCTAAAATTATGACTCAAACAAACCGGTGCATAAGAAATAATGTCCTTAACCTCACAGTTTAAGTAAATTCGTATCATAAAGAGCGTATGGGGAAGGTTTTTGCAAGCACATAGAACATTATCCTTAATTATTGCCAATCGACTGTAGCCAGTGAAAATCGTTAAGTGTTTATCATTATTTCATGAGCAACCTGAAACTCATCGTAGTCGAAATCCCCAAATAAATACAAAGCAAGTTAACGGAAGGAAATGTCTCCTAGTACGCACAAAAAGGTACGTTCACGATTGCATCTGACAATGACATTTACTTTTGTTGGTCACTGATGGGCATGTCCGCATATAAGCTTACTAACTATATTATTCCTCTGTTTTCTGAATCGGTGCAATCAAGCGAAAATCCGGTTGCCTAGGTTCAAGGTAACTCAAGAAAGGTACAAACGGAAGAAGCAACCGGACATTCTCGTGAAACCGCGTTGGAATACATACTCGAATTTAAAACTGCGGTTCTCTTAGTATGCCCGATTTCTCCTTTTTCGGAATTTTCCGCTTTTCGCTAAAAGCTAGTGTTTCTAAACAACGTTATATTACTTGATACATCACGATATATCATATTTTGAAGAACGACCATTAGTTGATCGCTGCAATTATTTTTGGAGACGCAACGTGAGTTCATTTTATGCAACACGGATTGCCTTGTAAAATACTTTAAAGTTAGTCAGATAGGCAATTAACTGTACAGGCATTACTACGTGCCTATATCGTACCTGTTCCAGCACAAAGATCTGATAAGCGGACTGCAGGTGCGCCGGTTTAATCTTAAATTGCACGGAAAAGTTGTGCAACCGCCGATAGATGGGCGACTTTGCAGTGTGCTGGGTGTCCCACTTGAGTAAGCCCCGCGGCAAGTGATGGCCAATTACGCCCGGGGGTTCCCCTGCTGCTGCCTCCGTCGTTATCAGTTTCAGCAGCGCCACCGTGACTGGTGGATCCTCCCAGGGTGGCATGACGTTGGTCTCCGGCCAGTCATTGACCCGCGAGGCATGCTTAAACAACCTTAGCATCTCCTTGCCCTCAGGGCAGATGGTAA